GTCGTCTGCTTTGGCACAGCTGCACTGTGAGACTGATCATTATTAGTCTCACGGTAAGCTTTTAGAAGACATCCCCTCCTCTTCCAGAAAGTAATATTGGTGTGTAAATGCCCCAAGCTCTGTAACTGTATCACGGAGAGCAGGGAAAGGGATTGCTGGAGGAGACTGGGGTAGGAAGGAAATAGGAATAGAGACCTGTCCTTAAGAAACAGTTATGGCTGTTGAAGGCCCTTGCAAGTGCTCTGGTCTTCCACCTGCAATTGCTCTTGGGTCTTCTTTCTTACAGTGAGGTCAATGTGCCCCCAGCATTTGCCCTGTGAAAGGCAATGGCCTCAGAAGGACTGTCTCCTAGAAGGGACCTGCTTGTGAGCACACCAGCCATGGCCAGGACACCATATCTGACTGCCCTGGGGCATATAATCCTGCAGTATGGTGCCTTCTACCCAGATGGCTGTGCCAACCGGAGTGAAGACACAAGAGTGAATGTGATGTTCTGGGCTAGGGAGAAAAGCCCACTGCCTGACTTCTCACCTAGAGCTCAAACCTGGAGTCTTTAATTTTTCCAGCTCAAAAGAGTTTTTTCATTGCTTGGCAATAACTGGGGTTGGAGGCAAAGGTGGGTGATAAGTTTCCATTCATTGTTGTATGTCATTTCAGAAGGAGGGGATGGGTTCTGGGACCAGGGGATTTAGTCATCGAGAAGTCAAGAAGAGGACTTCGTGAGAGCAGATGGAGGGAGGGAATGCTTAAAAGTGAAGCCTGTTTGTCCTTTGCTTTTTCTGGCTTTCTTTACTCCAGCAGCAAACATCAAGATAAAACACATTTGATCTTTCACTCTTAGGCCCTCATGAGAGCTTTCTGTAAGACTTGTCAGGTTAAGGGCCCTGTGGAGATTCTGTGCAAATTCCTGTTATCCGCCTCGGCCTGGACCTTGTCTGTGAAATGACTGATGGTGTGAGCTCCAAGAGCCCACAGTGGCAGAAAGACAACGAGCTGCAGCCCTTCACCAGCTGGGTGCAGCTCGCTGTCCACACTGCAGTCACCCAGCTCTCTGTCCGTCATTGCTCATGTAAGGACCAACCAGAAGATGGAGGCTTGAATCCCACCACTTCCCCTTCACTGGGGCTGAAGGGGCTTCAGAGAGGAGGTATCTTATAGATACTATGGAAAAGTAGCAGGAAAAAGAGAAAGACTGGGAAACGAGAGGAATCAAATTGAAAAGCAGAGAAGCACAATTTAAAACCCTGTTATAAGTGTGTACTCAGTTTTCAAAATAAGACTTTCTGCTTCCAAAGACTGATTGGGAATGTACGGTCTTAACAATTCAAGATTGCAGCTCTCATCTGATCCAAATAAATATTTTACATTTCCAATATCTGCATATTAGTTTATCTCACTGTGCAAGATAAATGGATCCCTGAAAAGGTGCACATAAATCCATTTTTTAAGTGGTATTTCACCTGTGTACTTAAAAATGCCCCTTAAAACTTGGGGGGGAGGGGAGAGAGGGAGGAGGGTGGGAGGTGTCGGTGATGGGCCATAATAATCATATACATTGTATATTGACAAAATAAAAATTTTTTAAAAATGCCCCTTAAAACTTGGGGGGGAGGGGAGAGAGGGAGGAGGGTGGGAGGTGTCGGTGATGGGCCATAATAATCATATACATTGTATATTGACAAAATAAAAATTTTTTAAAAATGCCCCTTAAAAAATGGATTTATGTACTCTGCCATGAATGGATTTATGACTCTGCCATGAACATTTTGGAATCTTCTAGATTTTGTTTATAGACCCACATGTGGAAATGATTTTAGAATTTCCCAAGTCATATGTGAGAAATGGGTAATAAAATTCTAACATTTAAATAATTATCCAGATTCATAATGGTATAGAAATTAAGCATGGAATTCTTTATTCCCACTTTGATGGAACTGTGGATTTAGATGCATGTAATCTGGGGGAGCACAGGGCTTGGTGCCATGTATTAAAATGCTGGCATTACTGAAGTTAGGGACAGAGGACCACAGAAGACCCAAAATGAACAGTTCATCTCTGGAACTGGTTAGAATTGACAAGTTTAGATTGAATGACATGTTTATTTTCCTTGTCATGATTTATTCTTGCTTTGACCCTGGCCATTCTGAGGTTGTGTTTTTATTCCATATGTGTAACTGGCTTGGTTCATTAATCCCACATCAGGAGACTGTGCAACTGATGTAGTATTTATTGAGCACCGACAATGTGTCAAACACAGTACAAGCCCCAGCCTGAGGAGCTTCACATGGTGACATAGCACATATGCATCTTACACACATAGCAAAGACATCAGCAAGGAGGGAGATCAATTGAGGACCTGCCTTGGGGAACAAAGGTGCTCCTGACCTCTTGTTTATGAGGGATGGGCCCTGTGTTCACTACCAGATCTAGCCACACGCTTGCCTGGGTCCTCTTCAGGTCAATTCTGTGCCTTGCAAGCCTACTAGATGTTCAGGAATGCAAGCCACAGGACAGAGGTGGTTGACTAGCCTACTTGAGAAAGTAAACTTGGAATTTAGCCACCCAGGTAAAAGAACAGACTGAAGAGCCTATGGAAATTCTATGAAGAACAAATTCTACAAGAACAAAAAGTCAGAATGGTTACAGCAATTGCAACATTGTTCTCTTAGCATCATCTCTCACAGTTGCTATTTCCAGGTAACTGTTGCCAACACATTAAAATACTCCTCTGCCAATTTAGTCAGATAAATCTATTAATTGGCTGCCAAAAGTGAGACCTGATGACAATGCTTGCAAAGAGGATTACAGAACCTCCCATCAGCCTTGGGAAGGGCTGCTGCCAGGTACTGGCTGGCTCAGTTCCCAGCTCTACTGCCTGTATGACTCCTTGCAGGAAGAGGCCTGGGCATACATGTTGGATGCTTGATATTAACCAAAATGTATTATTTAATAAAATTTTCTATCTATAATCTTTTGTGGATTTCTCTGGGACTCCCCTCTGAAAAAGTCAATTTGTTTTACAAACTAGTCCAGATTTCAGATGGGCTAACAGTTAAATAGTTGCTGTTCAGTTGCCAACTTTCATAATTTGTAAAGATGTTTATAAGCACAGCATAATTCTCTCCATAAATTTCATGTAAATGTTTAAAACTTTAAGTTGTAGGCATAACAGAAACCAATGTAAGCTTTTCTAGTAATCCATGGGGACACTTTCTTCTCACGGTGGATACACACTGAAAACAAGCTTATCAGGAAACACTTAAGTTTTTTAACACCCTGAAAACCAGGATTTGAAATAACTCATGGTGTATGACTTTATAACGCAATGGACCTAAAGTTGAATAATGTTTATTCTGAACTGATTGGACCCCTACAGTGCCTCACACATAGGAAATGTGTAAGAAAATTATTGAATGAATAACTGTATATTCTGATTACAAAGATTGGCTTCTATGTGATTGATCAGGTATTGTCTGAAAACTAAAAGAGTATTCTCCAAGTATGGCATATAACTCACTGTCAAATTCAACTCCAAATTCTTAACACCTTTGGCAGGTACAATTAAAACTTCATTCAGATGTTTCTGACATTCATTAGAAAGAGAATAATTCTTAAGGGGTGTAACCATGCATGTGCATTAAAATCACCTGAAGTGCTTTGAAAAGTGCTGATGCCCAAGCTCCAACTCAAATCAATTAACTCTCTGGGGGTAGGGTCAAGTCACCGACTTTTTTTGCAAGTGCCCCAGGTGACTCTAGGAGCAGCTAGGGCTGAAACCCAGTGATTTAAGCCTTCTAACAAAGAGACCACAATTAACCAGATTCCTCCCCAACTAATCCCACCCACTCCTTCCCACATTCCCTACACTCTCCACACATACCTATCAAAAGAATGCTCTGAGGAAAAGTGAAACATCTGGCTTTGAGCCTCCCAAGTGGTAGAGCTGCTGAAAGCACAGGAGCCAGCCCCTAGGATGCCTGGGAGATGAGCTCATTTGGGGCAGGGGACATAATGTTGTGGGGGTGGGCTGCATTATTAGAGCACAGGTTCTTTGTCCTTCCATCCATGGATGAAGCTCAAAGTCAGTTTAGCACCATTGCCAGAGCTAACTTGCATCTCTCATCTTAACCTGCCTTTTCCTTTCTCCCAGACCAGGCTTTTTCTGCCCTTCCCCATGCTGCGGAAAGTCTAGCCCTGTAACTACTAAAGATTCCTCTTGCTAACCATCCCAACCATGAATACCCACACCCCTGTCATGGTTGTTGACACTGGTGTAATGGAATTTAATCCTTGCCATCCCAGTATCATCCCCTTTTTCCTTTCCCTTTAGGGCACACTTTAATGAGTGAATGAGCTCATTTCTGTAAGAGAAGCATGAGGATGGGAAACAGTGATTCTTCCGTTTAGTGAGCTGTGGAAGTACTGGAACCTTCCAGATGGTGAATGAGTTGCTGCAGAGACAGGGGCTGATCTGACAGCTGGTTATTGTGTATCATTTCCCAAGACTCCTGCCCTTACTGCCCTGGTTGCTGTTTCAAGATTCAGTGTGGAGACCCTTGTCCTAGGGCACTTGTCCTCATATACAGAACTCTCAGGAGGTTAAAGTGATGATTATCAGCCTGGTATTATGCCCAACACTCTTCACCTGTTCCCTAAACCCTGGAAGTAATTAGTGTTGATCTACGCATCTCGTGAGTGGCAGTTTTTCTGTTCTGTCTTTAAGTAAACTTCTCCCAAGCCTTGTATTCTGGGTTGATCATGTTCCAAGCATCACCACAGAGCAGGTGCTGAGCAGTCAGATGACAGCTGTTGATCTGTTGCAATTGAGCAATTAGAGGATGCAAGCGAATGGCACACAGTTGACATTGAGTATTTAGAAAATCAAATGTTTGAGTGACTGCCTTGTGGCAAATACTGGGTGTACACACACACACACACACACACACACATTATTTCTTAATGTACAGTTATATGTCCCCTTAAGTGAATTGAATCTTTTCCTCTTTATCTCTATTCATCTGTATCTTCATTGACTAATTCATCTCATTTTAAAATAGTAGTTGGGGAGTAAGGAGAAGAGAAAACAAACATAAGACGTTTTGAAAGGTGGTTCCTAAGTGGGGTTTTTTTATACTATAAATTCAAGTGATTTTCAAACTAAAACCCTTTGGCGTGTAAAGGTCTTTTTCAGGAAATGCTGAAATCCTAGGTGTAGGTTTGGAATAAACATTTACCAAAAAGCCTACAAATTCAAGGGTTCAAATGGACTAAGCAATATCAGGTATTATATATCTCAGCTCGGTCCTTTTAAAAAGGCAAACTGAAAAGCTTTATCAATCCCAACGCAGTCATTTAAAGTAAGAGCAAGCGTTAAGAGAAAGCAGGGAAGACAACCGCGGTCCTGAAATACTTTTCTGAACCTGAAGAAAGCTTTGTTTGGTCTTCAAGGGCACGAGAGAGAAATAATAAGTCCTCTTCCCTCTCCCTGGCCTCCAAGCAACGCACAAGGCTCTCACCAAAGCCCACTTGACATTTTACAGAAACACGGGACAAAACAGGCAGCTGGACAAGAGGGCTGGGCTGGAATTTTGCCCCTTGCTGGCTTAGCTCTGGAGCTGGAAATGAGCCCTCCGGTCCAAACTCGGGTGGCACCCTTGGAGGCCAGTGGACATAGGGCTCCCCAGCCAAGGCCTGGCACAGTGGCATCAGATGACCACGCTGACCATCATGCTCTGGCCGTGCGGCACGATCTTGCGCGGCCAGGCGAGCAACAGCTTGCGCAGCTCCTCGCGGAAGCTGTCGTGCAGCCAGGCGTAGATGAAGGGGTTGTAGCAGGCCGAGCTCATGGCGAGCCAGTGGCAGAGCAGCTGCACCAGCCCGAAGGCGTCGGGGTCGATGGCTTGTGGGTCGAGGTCCCGCAGCAGGTTGAAGACGTGCAGCGGCAGCCAGCAGATGGCGAACACCACCACGACCACCACCAGCAAGCAGAAGGTCCGGCGGCGGCGCGCGCGGTCCCAGTCGGCCTGGCTCCGGGTCACGCAGCCGGGCACCACGCGGTTCCGGAGCTTCACGGACACCCGGACGTAAGACAGGAGGATGACCAGCAGAGGGAGCAGGTAGGTGACGAGCAGCAGCCCCCAGGCGTAGAGCTGGCGCTGGCGCTCTTGGGAGCCCCAGAACTCCTCGCAGAGGCGCACGTCGTGCGGCTCGAGCCGGACGTGGTAGGTGTGCAGGGCGGCGGGCAGCGCCAGCACCGCGGACAGCGCCCAGATGGCCAGCACCGCGTAGGCGCTGAGGCGCAGCGAGACGCGCCGGCGCAGCGGGTGCACCAGCACGACGTAGCGGTCCACGGCGATGGTGGCGAGCGTGAACACTGACACGTAGACGGTGACGGGCTGCAGGAAGAAGACCAGGTGGCACAGGCCGCCGCCGAACACCCAGCCGCGGGGCTCGAAGGCGTAGGCCAGCGTGAGCGGCACGCAGGCGGTGCACATGAGCACGTCGGACAAGGCCAGGTTGCCGATGAGGAAGTTGGTCACGTTGTGCAGCCGGCGCTCCCGCGCGATCACCAGCACCAGCAGGCAGTTGCCCACCAGCCCCACGACCACCACGACGCTGTAGAGCAGCACGATCAGCCCCTTCAGCTGATGCACCAGCTGCAGGCTCTGGAAGGGCGTGAGGGCCGGGGCGCCCGGGCCGGCCGCCGACCCGTTATCCATCAAGGCCTCTGCGCTCTGGCTGGCTGGAGACGCGGCCGTCGGCAGCAGCCCAGAAAGTAAGTCCGAAACCCCGGGGCCCCAAGTGGGCAGGGAGGCCATGACCACCTGTCCAAAGACAATCCCAGTCCGTCACTTCCCGTGTTCCATCTACCCCTCCCACACCAACCGCGCCCTCCCCCACCCCGCCATCACCCCTCACCCAAGTCCTCCCTCGGAATAACTCACTGGCCACAGAACGACAACAAAAGCAGCAAGAGAGGGTCGTCCTCTCACCTCTGTCAAATCAGCCGAAGCGTGGTTGGACATGCACAGCTTATTTGAACGGCCCCTGCTCCTTGGACAGCCCTCTCGGTCCCCGCAGGCCAGACCCAGGAGCGCAGTCCTACCTGTGCGTGGGGCTGGACAGGCGGGAGCGCGCTGCGGGGAGGCAGCGGCAGGAGTCCTGCTGTCCTGGAGCGGTCCTCCGCCACGGTTGCAGGGGGGCGGCTGCTTCTCAGAGGGACCGCGAGCCCTGCCTTCCGCCCCGTCCCCGCCCCAGCGCTGCCTTGTATGGACAACGGGGGCGGGGCGCGCGCTGCCCGACTAGGTGCTCAGAGAACTAGAGAGGAGCAGGGAGCGGGCAGGACGCGCCCGCAGAAGGGAGGAAGGCTCGGCACACCCAGGCCAGAGCAGCGAGGGGGAAGCGCGACGGCGGGAGCTTGCGGCGCCCCTGGAGAGTCCCGCTCCGGCGGGGCGTGCGGCGGACCGGGGCGCGGGCAGCGCCAGGCTGTCGGGACCCCTGGTGCAGCCTCAAGAGGGAAGGAGCAGGGGAGAAAGTGGGGGCGGGGGGCGAGATGCTCCAGGGGGCTGGGGGAGCCACGACAGGCCCGTTTCTACACGCTTGATCTGGCTTAGGGTCCCGGCTGCGGGTGACAGAGTCGCTAGGGGGTTCAGGCAGGGATTTAAAACGTAGAGCCCGGAGCTCGTCGCGACCAGTCCGGCCCTCGCCCTCCCACGGCTTCGCGGTCAAGCCAGACAGATGCTTCAGCACCGCGGACAGCTCCCGCCGGACCGGCTGCTCAGCGCGGGGTGGGGGACAACCATCAGGGTATTCCGAGGCAGCGGGGAAGGGGCCCTGCCTGGTTCAGAGAGCTGCCTCGCCGTCTGCTTCCTGGACTCAGGCTGCCGACTCCAAGAAAAGGAGGGTAGAGTGAGGGCAGATGAGCCGGGGTCTCCGGGAGTCGGCTGGTGACGTGTGCTCCTGTTGCGGGTCACCTCGTGTAGTGCCAAGGACAGGCCGTCTTTTACCTCCCTGGGTCAGAGGACGCGGCCCTCCTGCCAGCTACCCGGCACAGACCCTTCAGCACCTGGTTCCCACGACTCCCCTCCCCACCTTTTCTTGCCAGCTTTCTCAGCAGCCGTGGCCTTTGCTGTTTCTGCTTGACTCTCCCAGAACAGAATGTAAATGCGTTCCTAGACTGGGCCTCGACCCTCTCCCGCCTAAAATAAACACGCACAGGCCTCCTCACCTCATTGTAGTATATATATATACTAATAATTACAGAATTATATATATATATACTAATAATTACAGAATTTCCACTAGGATAACAAAAGTAACAAAGATTTGAGAAGCTTTAAAGTTTTGTAAAATCTTTAGCAGTAACACTTCACTGAAATGCAAACTAACCTGAACCATGGGAGCCAGAGAGAAGGCTTTGTAACCTTCCTCCTTAGAAGCTATCCCATCCCCTCAGCCTCTTTCCAGAGGATGGAGCTTCATCGTCCCCTCTCTGGTAAGTCCTTGTACTTTGCCCTCTGTGGCTGCAGATATTTCAAACTGGCAAAAAAAAAAAAAAGTAGCAATTATTCCACCCTCCAAATTCAAGTGAGTCAGTCATACAGTAGAAAAAGTCAACACTGGAACAAAAGCAATCAATTTTATGCACCTGTATTCATCCTAAACCCACACTCCCTGAGTTAGACTCAATTTAGCTAAAACCAGTATGATATACAAAAAAAACTAAAAGGCTCCAAATAAGATACAATCTGTGCCTGCCTAATCCCTTGCCCATTAATTTTTCTCATCATGTTCACCAGCAGGGTAGTTGATGGAGTTTGGATGTATTATTCTCCCAGAACTCATGGAAATCTGATCCCCAGTGTGACAGTTTGAGTCATGGGGGCAAATCCCTCATGAATGGATTAATGCTCTCCCTGGGGGAGAGGGGCCTGAGTGACTTCTCACTCTATTAGTTCCTGCAAGAGCTGGCTATTTAAAAGACCCTGGCACCACCCCCCTCTCTCTCTTGCCTCCTCTCGCCATGTGATCTGCTTGTACCCGCCAGCTGCTGCCACTTTCCACCATGAGTAGAAGCAGCCTGAGGCCCGTGCCAGATGCAGCTGTCCCAGAATCGTAAGTCAAATAAACCTCTGTTCTTTATAAATTACCCAGTCTCAGGTATTCTGTTATAGCAACACAGAACAGACTAATACAGTTGTATTTACCCAAGAGCAGAGCACTCTTTTTCTTCAAAATATCTTAAGCAGAAGAAATTGTGGTAAAGTAGATGAAAAAGGATTTGGGATGTAGTTGGGCCTTATAAATAGAACCATCACTCTGGTCAATATCATTAATAAATAATAGTAAAAGTAATAAGACAATCTTGTCAACCCCTAAAGGCCTCAAAACTATTATTATGCCCATTTTACAGATGAGGAAACTGGCTCATCAAGGCTAAGTAACTAACCATAATGGCACAGCTAATAAGCAGTGAGACTAGAATTTCAACTTAGATCTGCCTAATTCTGGAGCCAAACCACTCAACTGCTATAACTTACTGCCTATGAATGAATGACAGATGCACCTGCATAGACTGAAATTACACAAGCAGGTTCAAATGGGATTGAATAAATATAAAAACACTCCTCACCCTCTTAGATTATTAAAGGAAGCTCTATAAAAATTCAGTTACAACTCTAACCTTATCATGTTTAAGTTAAACAGATGGTTATGCTTCACCCAAAATGTACCCTGCTTTTATCCCGTGTAGGAGATAAAACTTTGGGCCATGTGAATTTCAGGGGATGGTCTTGCTAATGATGACAACAGGTGACATGATGTGTAAATAGAAGACAGAGATGACAGAAGTAAGGACAGCAGTTAGGGGTCATGGAAGCTTGACTAAAGGGATTTGAAGATTTGATGCCAGCTAAGTTCATGCTGATATACTGTAATTAGCCCAAACTCATGGAAAATCACTAGAGATTGGTTTTAATTATAAGTAGAAAGAGAGCAATTGTTTGAAACTTGTCTAAGTTCAGGAGATAGCAGGGCAGGAGCTCCCTCAGAAGTAAGTTTTGTCTTCAAAGCCCATCTGGTGTGTGTTCCAAGATCCAGATGCCTCCTTGGCTCCTCAGACTGAGCCATGCACCAGCTCTAGAAGCCTCTGCAACTCACTGCCTGGCCATGGCAGGCAGCATGGCAGGGCTGGCTACCTCGAGCAGAGAACACCCTATTGGGGGCAGTGTAAGAATCGACATGACATCTCATGTAAAAGTGAAGAAAACCCCATGTGTTTCCATTAGGTGACTTTGAGCAAGTGATTTTCATCAGACTCCAGACACATTAATCATTGCTCCAAGCTCTGCCATTCTCTCACGACTCATGTTTTAACTTTCCAGCTCAGCTTTGCCCAAACACAGAGTGAAGATTTTGAAGCTATTCTTCTGAACAGAAATGGTCTTTCTTTGGCTGGACTCTTCTTCTTATCCTGTCAAAAATCAAACATGAGTCCAGTCCTGGATGGCCTTGTGTCCTCTCACCTGAAGCATCACTGAAGTGGCATGGGGCAATGCATCTTGCTTCTGCCTTGTTTTAATCTGGGGTCCATGCTGGGCCCCAGCCTTTTGTAATGGATGTCTAGGCAGCCTTTGTGCTTTCTCTAACCAAGCTTGTGGGAAAGCTCTTGACTATGCCCTTAACTCTGGAAGGCTGAGGACGTGCAGAATTTTTCTTAGATAGTCTTGCTCACATATGGAGTTTAGAGGATGGAATAAAGCAGCCCATTCTTTTTTCACTAGTTACCTACCAGGCAGACTTTTAATGGACTCCAGGGGAGCAGAGATAACTATTCCTGGCACAATCTCATAGTAGAAAATGTACAAGACAAATGCACCTTTCTTTTATAGCATAGACTCCTTCTAATAGCATGATTTTGTCCTAAACTAGCAAAGTCTTGTCTCTTTTCTCCTTCAGCCACCCTGACTAAAGGCTACCTCCCCAGAAGGGGGAGGAGGAAAGGTAAGCCCCCCAGGGGAACAGAGGAGTTGGGGTGGGATAGAAAACCCCTTCCTGCCACATGAGAAAAGGGAATAATGAACATGCCAGTTCAACCACTATTTGTTAAATATTTATTATTTGACAAGCCCTGGACAAGGTGCCTTGCTTGAATGAGAGAAAGGTGAGTAAGACACTCCCTGCTCTCAAAGAGTTCACTGTCAAGGGCAGAAGCAGAAAGAGACAGCTGACTGAGGGGACTGTGGAGACAATCCCAGGGTGCCACCACTCTAGGAAACCCAATCTTAAAACCAAAGAGTTCACTGTCAAGGGCAGAAGCAGAAAGAGACAGCTGGCTGAGGGGACTGTGGAGACAATCCCAGGGTGCCACCACTCTAGGAAACCCAATCTTAAAACCGAGAAGCCCCGTGGCTTTAGTAAATTAACAATTTCTGAGACTCTTGATTTCCAATTTTTCTCAGACTTACATATCTCATTATAGCTGTTTCTTTCAATAACTTCTATTTTTTTTAGGATCATGGTTTGTACATGAATTACCCACTCAACTAAAATAATCATCGGTATTAAGAATAGAGAGACACACAAGCACGCCTTACTAATCAGCACATTCACATCAACCTGAGGTGACCACCCCTGTGCCCATCTCTGGACACGTCTTATTGTCCAAACACTTAAGGAAATTAAAAGATGCTTTCATGCAAACACAAAGTCCCCCCTCCCAGCACACACTGAAAATGTGATCAATATGTAAAATTTAAATGAAATATAAAAGCTTCTCTAAGAAAAGTGTGTGCCGTGGCAGACAAAGAGTTAACCTTCTTGCTATGGGCTGGGGGAGGGAAGGTGCCCATGTAATTGTTGGGAGATCAGGGGCGGGGGAGGATGAACACCAAGGCCAACCTTCCAAACACATGCCCTACTGCAGAAACCTTCACCCCCACACTACACCTGT